ATCGGCCATCCCTGAAACAAACGCGCTATTTACAAGTTTCGTTTGCAATAGGAACAACAAATTGTAACTGCCCATATCTAATTACACAATCTGAGCATGTTGCTAGCGGTGACATATTCATGCAATAAACTCAAAACCACGGGCACTGCCGCCTTAGAGATCCGGGCGCCAGCCACGGGCCTGCTTTGTGGTGCGCATGGCTACACATAGCTCTGCATAGCTGTATGCCATTCGTGTTGCCACGCATTTTTTTCATTCTGTTCGTTTGTTGGCTAGAGACACGCATGGACATGCATCCATCCATACATACATGCATGTCCCCGTTTTTTTCAACCACTACATTCATCACAACATTCGCAACGACACCCACCAACACCACAACAAGAACCACAACCACAACCAACAAACCACCACCAACAACAAGAACAACCGCCAGCAGAGTGGCATTGGTCTTCTGGCATAGCTTCACCCAATCCTGCAAGGTTCACAGCGAGGGTTGCTCCGTCCTCCTTTTGCTAGAAAGTTTCACACGGGGTGCGCAGCATCCACCCTCTCTGCTTCCTGTCTGCTCTCTCCTCAGGAACCGTCCCAGTGCAGGCTTCGCGCTTCGCTTGCTTCCATCTTCACACGACGGCTCACCTGACCTTTGGCTACATGCCAGCACGGTAGTACATAGACTCTACATGCGCTACCACCACAACACCTCCGACAACTCTCACCACTACAACCTAAGTCGCAACCACCATAACAATAACATCGCAAGCCGCTTCCCCTTCCTTTCTTCTTCCTACTCCCTCACTCTCCCTATGCATCCCCCTACCTTTTATCTCCTAACGCCTAACTACCACCTAGATTATCATGGATATATAGATTATCAACTTAATTTCTTCTTGTCTCCCCCCCATGCAACCCACCTCTATATATATATATATAGAGAGAGAGAGAGAGCTAGCTCTGGCCGGTGTGCGGCCGTCGCGGCTGTCAGGCGCCTCTAAATCCGGGAGCTGGCCACGCCACCCGAGGGCTTCTGATAGTGTCAGAAGTTAAACCACGCACGCCTGCAGGCAAGCTAATTTTTGTTGTTTTACGTTGAAGTTCAGACAAGCCGCGTCGAGCTGCACACATAGCTCTCAAGAGGTGTTGGTGGCGCGACTATTGCCACCCGGGTTGCCACGCATCTTCTACTACTACTACTACTACTCCTGCTACTGCTACTACTACGTATCACTACCACTTAACATAAACCACAATCACCACATAGTGCGAACCTCTTCCCTTCCTTTCTTCTTCCTACTTCCCCCCCCGCCCTGCATCCCAACCATTTACCCCTTTCCTCTACATCCCACTATTGCCTAGCTAGATGCCTCTACAATCCTCGACATACACATATACATAGCCATAGCACCTTTTTCCCTTCCCGGCGCCCGGCTGTCAGGCGTAAGCGGCTATATTTCACTTGATCTTCAGATTTTGGACTCCAATTTGCATGCGACGTGGGTTTGTGCAATGGCCCGTTAGTGCGAGGATGAAACGTCACTGCACTGTTGTGTTTGGTGTTGCTGGTGCGGGTTACAAGTGTAAGGTGCCACCGGGCTTTCAACAGCAGCTTTGGCAAGAAGCAAATTTCAGCCGCTGATGGTTGGATGAAAACAAAAATGCAAAGGCCTAAGGGTCTGGGTAAAACGATTTAGGAAGAAACCACATCACCCCTCACGCCCCCAAAGAAAAGCTGATGAAGGGACAGAAACCAATTTGTTTTGGTGTCAGCCGGGTACCCTTTACAGGAGATTGGGCCTGGGCATGTAGCACGTATGGTGAATGTTGTGCGGTGAAGGCATACTTAAAGGCCTCAAGAACCAGAAGCAAAACATGCAGGGGGATCTGGACAATGCAAGCCACTGGATATGAGAGCTACACAACAGAAGCCATGGAAGCTTGCCGGAGCCGCATGGTGTCATCTCCAGCCCGACAGAGAAGCAGCCGAAAGAGCAGATCGACAGATTCAGCACGTGTAACACAGAGTGATACAGCGTTGCAAGAGTTGCTGTGCTGTGAGACAGCCACAGAACCGGCACCATGCACATACGAAAGGGTGACCGGAGTGAACTCTACATGTTTTTTCCTTTCCACCTCATCCAGAGTCTGGACATCACGGCCGCTGAGAGCTGCGCATGTCTTGCAACCGCATTTCAGCGGCGCCCCACGCAAGCGCCAAGACTCAAGGCACGCCCCTCTCGAAATGCCTTTTCCAGGGGCCTGCAATCTGGCCTGTTGCACAACTTCACGAACTAAAGGAGACCGCAGCAAAGACATCCATCTTTTTGGAACATTAGCACACTCCACCCTGGAATTGGCCTTGCCTGACAAGCTACAAATGATTGGGAAAAGTACATGACCATTCATCCAGGTGCGCCTTGAGTCTTGAGGCTCAAGAAGTGAGTGTTTGGGATCTCTTGCCGCGATAGTTTAAGGCTGACATGGCCGACATGCTCAAAATCTTGCTCCAACTGTAGTGGGCTGTTTTGAAATTTTCAGGCAAGGGAACAATCTCAGGCAGGAACCCAATATTTGATAATAAATAATTAGTTTCAGCCCGGTGCTCTGGACCTGGAACTCCCCCAATTTCAGACCAGCCACTAGATTGTACTTCTGCAGCACGTCCTCCAATGACAAGCCTGGTTCATCGTTTTGCTCTGCAGCAGGCTCAGCAGGAGCACTGCCGGATTCGTCGAATGCCTGCTATCGAGCAAGGTCGGTAGTCGGCTGGTGGCACAATGCTGCCGCAAAGTGGGCCGTGAAAAGTGGGTCTACCAAACCTACCTCGAAGCTGGATTCCCGTCGGAGGCCTTTCTATTCAAGTGTGACCCAAACACATTTTTAGGTCCGTTGCTTATTGGAGGCCATTGCTATTAGGTTTGAGGTCAGTTGTTTATTGTGTGTCACAGTCCCGCCGCCCCTGCCTCTCGCGAGCTTTCGCGGCTCTCCCGGCTATCTCTCGAGCTTCCGCTTGAAGGGCTGGACATTTGCAGCCCTTCCGTTTCTTGCATGCAAACAGGCACACAATGATCGAAACTATGTTTGAGCCACAGCAATCACCAGGGCAACAAAGAAATATGGCAATGTCTCCGTCACTACTTTGAACCATCTATGCAGCTCATGAAACCGTGTTGGTGTGATTGATCTTTCATATCATGTTGGCAAGGCGGAGGGCGAGAGCTTAGCTATTGGCATGGTTCATTCTCAGTTTTCATGTTGGTGCTTCGCACCTCATTATCCTCATTGGCCTCCTTTTGTTTACAGTATGCTGATCGCTGCTCACACACGTTTTCCGCGGATCTGAATTTGCTGGAGTCCCTTCGCAACAAGGCGTGAGACACGAAATGGGCAGGTGGTGTTGCTTTCCACCGTGCGAGCTGCCAGCCAAAGCCGCAAACGAAGCTCCGCTTTTGTTGGCCGGCGCATTGGAGATCCACAAACTTGCAGTGCTAAAAGGTTGCCTGGAATCTCAAAATATATACTGCAAATGTGCACGTGAAAAGGTGTTTGCATGCTGGCAAGCAGCCAGATCCCTCTGCTTGTATGGCGAAGGAGAGGCAGTCACTACGATTGCTCAACGCCTCACAACCCCCAGCTTCTTGAGCACAAGTTCTGAAACAATGTGGATAATATAACTTTTTTTTATATTTATACTTATATTTGTACACGCAAATATATTTATATACTACACATATTATGAAAAACGAGTTAAAAAAGAAGAATGGAAATGAATGGAAACGCGTGCAATCCACATGCCTTTTGACTGATACAGTGCACATGATGCACATGCGAGAATAAGGAGCATGAAACGAACCATGGACAGTCCAGATTAGCCATCCATCGTGCATGGAAAGCATGTCAAATCAAAATGTGCCGATGCACCGATCAGTGGAAGCTGGAGGCTCCAGTTAACGCAAAAGCACCGATATGCCGATACACGGTGAGATTGGGCAAAGCATGGGCGCCGATAAGCCAGTACATGAGCGGCATCAAAGTGAATAGTTTTTACAAACATTTGTCTTATCTACTTACGTATCTTTTTGGGTCTTCCAGGTTCTTTTTTTTCCAAAGATTGGCACCAGTCTTGGTACTATGCCCTGTGCGTTCACAATTGAAGCAGATTATCACCTTAATGTTCAATGTTGAGCACAGCACCACATCATCATTCAAGAGTGCGCAGCACAAAGGATTCTAATATCTTGTCGGGGCACTTGGGCCAAGGTCGGCCAAGGTCTTTTGTTTTGCTTGGGGCTTCGTCTAGGCTTCGTTCCAAGTCACTCCGTTACCCTGAAGACAAGGCAATCGAAAAGGAGAGTCCCACAAGGACGCGTGTTTTGGGACTTCCAGCTTCGTTTCGTTTTCCAAGCCCTGTGCAAATTCTCACTCCCTGCAATGCAACCTTTTCATGTATATATATATATACTATATATAATATATCGAACTGAACGCTAAGATTTTGTTAATATCTCACATGGGGAAGGCATGGAGGAGTGCTGGGGCAGCGCTATTACCCCTGCACCATGCGCCAGTACTCCCATGCACTGCCCTGTGACGCTGACCCCAGGATGCACCAAAAGACTCAGACCTTTAAGGTGTGGACCAGGGCACTCGCCGGGCCAAAGTCCTTCATATAATGCAGATCATATTATGTACAATGCACATTAATTAACTGCATGTAACTATATATTTATAAATGTTCTAATATAGAACATGCTGCGCAAGACTTCAGAAAATACACCCATCCAACCGCTTTTGCTTTCTGCATGTAGCCTCAGAAGCACAAGTTTCCGGGAAATCTGTCATTCTCGTTCACTCCATGAACGATAGACAGGTAATTCAGTTCTGAAGCCACCGCGTCCGCCAGCATGCACACGCTTCGAGAATCCCTCAAGTGAGACCCCTTTGCTTACTTGCGCTTACAAGGTCTTCCCAGTTTAGAATCGTGGCATAGACTTTTGACTCTGGTTTCTCAATGGGTCTCACCGTCGCAACACTCCTCAAACACCCTCTCATTCACACAAGAGCCTTCCAATTCGGCTACCCACTGGGTCAAGAGTCTCAATGTGGTGGGCCTGAAACATCTTCAAAGGCAGGATGATATTTTTGGTCATAAGCTCATACAACTAGGGAATGCTGTTTTAGGCCCTGTATGTTTTATATGTTCCCCGGAGGTATATTAGATTGGTGATTGGTGTATCTCGAAGGTACCATCTGACGGATCGGTGTATCGGTGCGGATACTTTGAAAAGATGTTTGCGATCACCCTACAAGCCGTACAAGCAGCAATGGTAGAGCCTAAACACCAGCGATCAGCTCTGCTCCCCTTAGCAGTATCAGCCACTGGACGACAACGGCAATTACTGAATCAAGAGCATGTGTCTTGTGTGCTTTATGTTCTATACCAGTCGATCTTCAGCTGCAGTTTCTATGCCAATGCCTTTTTTTTTTACAAGCTGCAAGCTGTTGAGTTATATAATCAGCCAACCCATATTGAGTGCGACTGTGAATGAAACATACAGCGCCACACTGAGTTCGAGGACCATGGTCATAATCTGCAAGGAAACTGATTTCAACCAAGTCGTGACCAACATCGCAATGTCGGTTTACAGCGGAAACTGGTGCGAACATGCTGGTTTGCCATGTCCTCGTTTGATTCAACAGAACCTCCCCGGAAAAGAGTTGCATGACAATGACAATGCCTGACAACGCATGCCTTGAGCAATGAATCGCCCTTTCATCACTCAACAAATATTGAAGCGGTACAAGCATGGAGCACAGGTGTGCGCGTTTGTGTTCGAACCCTTCAAACTTCAAACTATCCGCAATCTTAAATGATGATACTATCCTGCGACCAAAAGAGGTCGCATTTTCCAACAAGCAATCACTTGGTAGCGATACTTTTGAACTGCGAAAAGGTGCACCTGCGGTCAAGCTCAAATCTGTACGTGAGCATGCGTTCAAATCTTCATTCCGCTCTTGCTCGTGAGGCTGCCTGAGCTAGCTGAAGTATTCAACATGTTTGTGGGAGCATATGAACATACATCACAAGCTCGGTAGGTCATGATGCTCTTTGCAACCTTCAGTTTGGAACAGGAGCGGTTCACATGGAAAACAGTGCCATGTCCGGTGATGTGCACTTCCTTTCCAAGTGGGGACTTGCGACCATATTCGTCGATCAAGTCTGAAAGATACATGTTCTGGCCTTTCACACGCTTCAGTTCTTCATTCTCCTTCACACTATGCTCCAGCTCTCGGTGAAGTGCCGTGTTCCGCTTGTTGCGGCCATCAATCTCACATGCCATAGTCCTTCGCACTTCATGCAGCTCGATGTCACGATCTTCCAAAATGGTTTTCGTGTCCTTGAGCTTTTGCTGGAGCTCGATGATGTCCTTGTCGCGGACCTTGATCTCGTGGATCATCGTGCGGCGCACATGCTCTGTCTCCTCTTCTTGTTCCTTCAGGGCTTCTGTGAGCTCATTGATCTTCTCTTGGAGCGCTGCGGCCATGGATGCCGTCGTGGTCGTCAATGTCATGGTGTCTTTCTCAACCTGATTCTTGCTCTCCATCAGGTTGCTCATAGCTTTGCCGAGACTACCGATCACGGTCACGAGAAACTTCCACAGCAAAATGGCGATCACTGCTGTCGAGCCAACAAGTCCATAGAAAAAAAAGATGGAGCCCACGAACCCGAATGCAAACACGTTCGAAAAGCTAGATATGTCCAAATGACACTCTTGTAGGACACTCTTGTGGGACACTCTTGTAGGATACTCTTGTGGGTCACTCTTCTTGTAGGACACTCTTGTGGAACACTCTTACAGGACACTCTTGTGGGACACTCCTGAAGGGCACTCTTGTAGGACACTCTTGTGGGACACTCTTGTAGGACACTCTCGTGGGACACTCTTGTAGGACACTCTTGTGGAACACTCTTGTAGGACACTCTTGTGGGACACTCTTGTGGGATACTCTTGTGGGATACTCTTGTAGGACACTCTTGTGGGACACTCTTGCGTGACACTCTTGTAGGAAACTCTTGTGGGACACTCTTGTAGGACACTCTTGTAGGACACTCTTGTGGGACACTCTTGCAGGAAACTCTTGTAGGGCACTCTTAAGGGACACTCTTGTGAGACACTCTTCCGGGACACTCTTGTAGGACAGTCTTCTGGAACACTCTTGTGGGACACTCTTGCGGGACACTCTTGTAGGACACTCTTGTGGGACACTCTTGTGGGACACTCTTGTAGGACACTCTTGTGGGACACTC